ACCGCTTCCATGGTACTTCAAAGCTGCATTTTCTTACGTCGTATCATTTTTTCATTACAGCCATCATGTGTTCATTACAAACAATATTTCCGCAACTGACAGTCCGGTCTTGAAGGATTTATGCGCTATGTGACATATTCCGGCATAGGAACATAAACTTACGTTTATGCAGTAGCATATAAGCAGCATCAGTTACTCAAACGTCGTTCGTAATGGCATCGAGGTGGTTCAAGCGAACAAAATGATGAAAGATGCATCTGGCACGACACGGAGCCGTAGTCCTAGGCAACTAGGAGCAAGGAGACCGTGCCATACATAATTAAATTTTGTCTAGCAGGAGTTATGCGTTATCGAACTTATCATATCAGCGATTCTACGTTACCTGGATGAAGCAGACGATTTTGAATGCACGTGCGCAGCTTGTCGGTCAAATAGCCGCGCAGCTGGGACAACTCGATGCACTTCCCCAAGTCTTCAATGACCGGAATGCTGTCCGGATAGTCGATGATAATAGAGAACATTTCGTTGACCAAAAATTTTCCGTAAGTTTCGTACAGAAATTCTAGCAGCTGCTCTTTAAGATCATTCAGTGACTCACAAGTTCGCGGCTCTTGTTGGGCAAGGTCCTGGTCGCACGGGTTGTACATGATGCTTAGCCATTTATATATACATCGCTCGAACCACTAAAGAAAAATTTATGCATAAAAAATCAATGTAATATTTCTATTGTAACATTGTCTGTTTTATATTATTTCCCTCCATAATAAAGGATCGTGTATGATCCGAAACCTGGAGAAAATGGAGTTAAAAAATTCGTTATCTGGTATCATCTGTTGAAGGATTATTAGAATTCTGAATAGAATAAATTGGTGTAGTTCAAACAATTAAATTTACGTAAAGCAACGGCTGCAGGTGAGGAACTCCGAACACTGACTGACTTGTGTTGCGAATCTGGTGCTCCGTTACCGAGTGAACGATGTCCGGAATAGCGTCCGGCAACAACAGGTTGAACAGATCGAGCGCCTTCCTAAATTTTTCTTTCTGTACTACGAAAAATTCGCTTATTTTAAACATAAGCCTTACAAGTGCTGACATATCTTCTGAAATCGATCCATAATCTCGCAACAAACACAAGCGTTGAGTCGTTTGCAGCCGGGACAAGGGACGGAATTGTCAGCTAGAAAGCAGATTAAATGTACCAGTCATAAACAACAGTTACACTGTACAAAGATTGAGTATTTGGTTGAGGCTAGTGATCAAAGAGAAAACAGTCAACTCGCAGTTCATTTACATTTACAAACAAGGAAACATGAAGGTCAATCAGATGACCGAGAAGCACCGTGGTTTCGGTATGCATTTCACGAACCTTCTTCAAGGTAAAAAGGTTGGTTTTTTGACTTCGGTAGTCTTTTTGTTGTTCACATCACTTAGCACTTGGAGACAGAATGCGAACTTTTGGTGCATGCTGCTAATGAATTATTTTCTTGGCGACAGGTGCGACAAGACTCTCCCATCCAATCCGCGCTGAGTTCGTATCCTGTCCCGGATGACGATGTCGCAGGATTGAGTAACTAATGGTTTCCTGACGCTCTTTTTGTTCAGTCAGTGTCTCTCTCACATAATGCCAGGACACTTTAATAATCAGGAGACGTATC